TCAGAAGCAGAACCTTCCCCTGGCCCATGTCTTTCTCGCCCCACATTTCTGCTTCCTGTGGGCTCTGTCTTGTCCCCCTTACCAGCTCCTCAGCTCGCCCCAGCTGGGCTGCCTCCCGGCTCCAAGAGCTGCTCCTGCAGGGTCACCAGTGTTGGTCACGAGGTGCCCAGACGGCACAAGGTCACTTCGCTCTGTTCCTCACTCACATTGACAACACTGGCTTGCCCCTGCTCTTCGAAGCACTCTCCTCCGTCTTACTTGTCCCTTGTCCCACCCCGTCCCACCCCCACTGTCTCTTTTCTGGATTCTCCTCTTGCTCCCGCCCTGTGCCCCTCTCCCTCACCTGACACACTTCCTGGTCACCTCACAGCTCTAACCAGGGACCCTAGCAACTGTCCTGAGGCACATGACTTCCATCTTTATTCTTCCCTACATGTCACTCCTGAGCCTCATGCCTTTACTTCTAATCATTTACTGTCAGTATCGCTTTGAAAGGCTCCGCAACACAACACTCCAGATGCGGCCCATGAACTGCTGCCGTCATTTCCACGTCCACCGCCGCCCTCCTGCCCTTACCTGTTCTTGGTGCAAATGGCCCTGAACTCACCCTTTTGCTCAGGTCGTACACCCGGCGCCTGGGGAGTTGATCCGGACTCCTCTCTCCCTCACGCCTACAGCGAATCAGAGGGTGGAGAGCGTGCGTTCTGAATAGCCTGTGTGTGTTTTTATTCTCCCCACCTCACTTCACCCCCTTGCGACAACCATCTCTAGTTTATCTGATTAGAAAGACTATTCTGACTGGTCCTCCACCGTCCAGTTCCATTCACCAGTCCATGCCGTTCTCTTCTCTGCAGCCAAGTCAGTGTTCAGTCAAGCAGTCTGATCCAGCTCTTGCCCCTGCTTTCAGCCAGCTCTTGGCCTTCTCTCGCACTGAAAAATAGTTTAGACTCAGGGAGGTTACCGTGGCTCCGGCAGTCCGGCCCCTATGCAGGCCGCTCGTCCTCCTCTCTGGTCCTACTGGATGCTCTTCTCTTTTTGGAATATAAAATGCGTGTTCTCGCTCACATTTCTCCCGTCATCTGCGCTCAGCCTGGAGTGCTCCTTCCTCTGTCCTTGCCTTGGTAACTACTGTGTATCCTGCGGGTCTTAAATACCACTGCCAAAGGCTTTCCCTGATTCTCTAGAACAACCTTCCTTCCTTTTTCTCTTTCTTCCTCTAAATACGGTAAACGCTGCAAACACACAAAACCATCCTGGGCGTAGCCCAAGCCACCTGGGCCCCCGCACCCCGCGTGTAACAGATGTCAGTGTTGTGCCTTATTTGCCTCAGCTCTTTTCTGATCTAATATTTGAATACTTGATACATTCACATGGTTTAAAAGTAAACATAAAAGAGGATTCAGTGAACAGTCTTCCCTTCTATGTCCTCTAGCCTCAATTTCTAAATTAATGTTACTAGTTTTATGTATCCTTTTTGAGATATTATATACACATGCAAGCAAATACAAATGCATATTCTTCACCTAACCCTTGTACACAGATGGTAGTGTATTACGCATACTGTTTCACACCTGGTTTTTCATTTTAACATGTTACACATATATTTAAAAAATTTATATGTATGTATATATGGATCTTTCTGTATCATTACATAGAGAGCTTTTTCATTCTTCTTGTTTTTTTAAGTCACAGTATTCCATTGTTTAGATATTCTGTAAGTCATATCAGTAGCTCATATTAGCTTATTTCAGTCTTTTTTTTACTACCACAAATAATGCCATAATAAATAACCCTCTATATAAATCATCCGCACATGCAGTTTGTCTGTGATAAAAATTCCTGGACGTGAAATTGCTGGGTCAAAGAACAATGTGTTTGTCATTTTGTTAGCTGTTGTCAAGTTGCCCTCCATGTAGTTTTATCAGTTTAGCTTCCCAGTAACAGAGTCCGGAGACACAGTCAGTGTGGTCACCTTTGGAGAAGTCTGAAATGAAAAATGGTGCTGGACAGAGTATAGTTATATTTTGTTCATTTCTTCTTATGCATGAATTTTGAGTAGCTTCATTAATTTTTTAACTTTTTTTAATTGAGTTATAGTCATTTTACAATGTTGTGTCAAATTCCAGTGTAGAGCACAATTTTTCAGTTATGCATGAACATATGTACATTCATCGTCACGTTGTCTTTCGCCGTGAGCCGCCACAAGATCATGTATATATTTCCCTGTGAGTAGCTTCATAATTTAAAAACCATTAGTGTTTTCTGAGAACTTTCTGTTTTTCTACTGGATTATTTTCAATAGTATTTCTGAAATTTTGATTCTGAGACCACCTTCATTGAGTAAATATTTAATGATCCGTGCTAGCTACTGGTGCTAAAGACATAGTTTTTGCCTTCCTAACGCTTACAGTGACACAGTAAATAAACAAAACCTAATGTAATAGAGAATAGCTGTTTGTTGGGTGGACTATATTAATTCAAGTAGGCCCAACTGATAGCAGATCAGTAGACCCCCAAAATCCGGTAGCTAAAGGAATAAAAGTACTCTTTTTTATGTAATAGTCCTGCATGGGTGTTCAGGTTAGTGGTGTGGCTCTCCCCTACCGTCCTGTGACTGCCCGTCCCCGAGGGCCTGGTTGTCTGCTGCCTCCAGCAGGCAAAGGACCTGGGAGGTAATTTAGGGGCCAGATCTAGCCATGACATAGGGACTTTCATTCATATTCTTTTGACTAAAACAGTCACATGGCCATGTCTTGTACAGGGGAGGCTAGTATATGGGGTGCAGTCATGTGCTCAGGAAGAAGAATATGTTTTTTGAGGACAACTAGTAGCCTCTGCTGCAGAAGTTGGGGCAGCATTAGCCGTGGTGGTGAGGGGAGACTCTGAAACTGAAGGGGTGAGGAAGAAGCATCCAAGCAGAAATTAGAAATCAGAGCATTCTAGGCAGAAGGAAACAATAAGGACAAATACCCTGAGGCATTTAAAAGATTTTGACCAGGTAGAGGAATGGAAGGAAGACCCTGTATAGTCGGAGCCCAGGTGGCTGGAGGGAAAGGTTGGAGAGATGAGCATTGTACAGATTGCGCAGGTTGCACATGGGTTTGGGATGGTTCTGTTTATCCATTCATTCATTGGTGGACACTTAGGTTGTTTCCATGTTTTGGCTATTGTAAATAATGCTGTAGTGAACATGGGGTACATGTATCTTTTGAAGATAGTATTTTTGTTTTCTTCAGATAAAGACCTAAAAGTAGAGTTGCTGGATATGGTCGCTTTGTTTTTAATTTTTTGATGAACCCCCGTACTATTTTCCACAGTGGCTGCCCCAGTTAATATTCCCACCAACAGTGGGAGTCCCTTTTCTCCACATCCTTGCCAACGTTTGTTATTTGCTGTCTTTTTGATAATAGCCATTCTAACAGGTGTGAGAGGATATCTTGTCATGATTTTGATTTGCATTTGCCTGATGACTGATGGCGTTGAACATCTGTTCTTGTACCTGTTGGCCATCTGTGTGTCTTCTTTGAAACATGTCTATTCAGATCTGCTCATTTTTTAATTGGATTGTTTGGGTTTTTGCAGTTGAGTTTTAGGAGCTCTTTATATATTTTGGATACTGGCCCCTTATCAGAGACACGATTTACAAATGTTTTCTCTGATGCAGTAGGTTGCCTTTTCATCTTGTTGGTTCCTTTGCTGTGCAGTAGTCTTTTAGTATGATGTAGTCCCATTTGTTTATTTTTGCTATTGTTGCTTTCGCTTTGGTGTCAGATTCAAAACATCATCACTAAGACCTGTGTCAAAGAGCTTACCACCTATGTTTTCTTCTGAGAGTTTTATGATTTCAGGTCTTAGGTTCGAGTCTTTAATCCATTTTGAGCTAATTTTGGGGTTTGATACCAGATAGTGGTTGAGTTTCATCCCTTTGTATGGCTGTCTAGTTTTCCCAGCACAGCTTGTTGAAGAAACTGTCCTTTCTTCACTGTATATTCTTGGTTCCTTTGTCATAAGTTAATTGATCATATATGCATGGGTCTATTTCTGGGTTCTCTGTTCTGTTCCATTGATCTGTGTGTCTGTTTTTATGCTATACTCTACTGTTTTAGTGACTATAGCTCTGTATTATAGTTTGAAATCATAGAACATGATGCTTCCATCTTTGTTGTTCGTTCTCAAGATTGCTCTGGCTATTCAGTGGTTTTTTTGTGGATCACAAATTTTAGAATTATTTGTTCTCTAGTTTTTTGAAAAAGACCACTGGCATTTTGCCATAGGGATTGCATTGAATCTGTAGATTGCTTTGGGTGGTTTGGACATTTTAACAACATTGATTCTTGCCATCTGCGAGCATGGACTATCTTTCCATTTATTTTGTCTTCTATTTCTTTTATTAGTGTCTTGTTTTCAATATACAGGTCTTTCACTTCCTTGGTTAAATTTATTTCTGGGTATTTTATTTTTGATGCCATTGTAAATGGGATTGTGTTCTTTATTTCTCTGTTTGATATTTCCTTAGTAGTGTACAGAAATGCAGCAGATTTCTGTTATTGATTTCATACCCCACAACCTTACTGAATTCATTTATTAGTTCTAACAGGTTTTTGATGGAGTCTTTATAATATCATGTCATCTGCAAATAGTGACCATTTTACTTCTTCATTTCCAATTTGGTTGCCTTTTATTTCCTTTTCTTGCCTTGGGCTCCACCTGGTCCCTTCCCTCTGCTTGGATTTTTATGTTGGCAGTTTCTCTCCTGTCATCACTTTGGTCATTCAATAAATAATATCAGGACTGAATATTTTAGCTTTTAGTGAGGGGCTACGTAGTAATAACATTTTTTTAATAAAACTCTTTTATACCTATTCTATAAAAGCCAGTGCTGTGGTGAGTGCTTGTCCAGCCCCGACCCTGCTGCCCCGCAGTGGTGAAGGGAAGCTTCCCCAGGCCTGGCTCTCTCTCCTGACAGAGACGCCGTGGTTGGGGACCTGATGCCAGCCGGCATGGTCGCCCTGGTGGAGTGTCCCTCATTCTCTTCCTCGGCACCCCCTTCCCACATGTCTGCCATGGCCAGTACCATGAATGGAGAGGAATGTGTGCTGGCTGTTGATACTGAAGACAGGCTGGATCCAAATCCATGGCAAGAAAAGACGGGGGAGGTAAAAGCAGGTGGTAGAGCAATGAAGCAGTCTTAGATCAGGAAGGAAAAGGCAGCTGATTACTAGCTTATTGTAAAGTACATGAAAAAGGGTACAGGAATGGTCAGATGAAGAGGTGCACAGGAGGGTGTCTGTAAACGTCTGTGAGGTCAAGGTGGTAGGTGGTCTTGTTGAAATCGTCTGTATCTTTACTGATTTCTGTCTACTTGTTCTATCAGCTGTTGCAAGTTGGGTTTTGAGATCCCAGCTGTCGTTGTGGATTTGTCTCCTTTTGACATTTCTGTCACTTTTTCCTTCACGTGTTTTGAGTCTTTGTTATTAGGTGTGCATATCTTTGTAATTGTTATATATTCCTGATGTTTAACCCATTTTTCACTCCGAAATGTCTCTCTTTGTCTCTATTAACATTTCTTGAAGTCTATTTTGTGTAATGTTAGTATAGCCACTCAGCTCTCTTAATGGTTACTGTTTTCCTGGTAGATCTTTTTCCATCCTTTTACTTCCAACCTTTTATGTCTTTGAGTCTAAAGTTTGTCTCTTATTATGCACCTTTTAGTTAGATCTTGCTTTTTTTAATCTAACTGCTAGTGTTTGTCTTCTGGTTGAGATGCCTAGGCCATTCACAGTTAATGTAAGTGTAGATGTGGTTGGATTGACGTCTCTTAGTATGCGTGTATTTGGGGGTGTTTTATTTTGCCTTCATTTTTGAAGGATAGTTTTGCTGGATATAGTATTCTTAGTTGATAGAACTTTTTTCCTCTTATCACTTTAAATTGGTCACCCCACTGGTTTCCTGCGTTCATTGTTTCTCAGGAGATGTCATAATTGCATTTTGTGTCCTTTTCCCTCTCGTGGCTTCCATGATTTTCCCCTTGTCTTCGGTTTTCAACAGCTTCAGTCTAATGTGTCTGGGGTGTGGATCTCTGTGTTTGTCCTGCTTGGGACTGGTTAGTTTCTGGAGCTGCAGATGAATGTTTTTCATCCAATTTGGGGTTTGGGGTTGTATCTGTTCAGGTACTTTTTCTGTCCCTTTTTTCTCTTCCCTCTTTTTCTTGTGGGGGAGGTGCAGAATTCCCATTATGCGTATGTCTGTATATTTAATGTTGTCTCCCAGGTGTTTGAGACTTTGTTTATTTTTACTCAGTCTTTTTTCTCCTGTCCTCCAGATAGAGAATAATAGAAGTTGTATAGTCTTCAAGTTGTATGGTTCTTTTTCTCTGCCATTTCAGAGCTGCTGTTTTGTCCAGCTGGTGAATTGTTCATTTTGGTCATTGTACTTTCCACCCTCAAAACTTCCTTTTAGTGTTTCTTTTCATTAAATCATTGCTACCATATTTTCCTTGGCTATCATGTTTTCTCTGGTTTCCTCAAACCCTTGGAACGCATTAACACAGCTGCTGTGAAGGTGTTGTCCACTAGATCCAGCACCTGGCCCCTCAGAGTTAGTTTCTGTTCACTGATTGTCTTCCTGCATACAGCTCACACTTCCCAGTGTTTTTGTGTAGCTTATAATTTTTTATTGAAAACTGGACATTTTAGATTGTGTTGTGTCATGTGGATTCTGACCTTTATTTTTTTTTAATTTGTAAATGTTGCTACAATTCTTTGACTATTTTGTAACATGCCTGGAATGACTCTTTGAAATCTCCCCACGGAGGCAGAGAGGGCATGGAATTCAGTGTTCGGGCAGTTTTCCTGTGTGTGTACCCGACTCTTCCCGCTTTCCTGAGTTCATGTGCCCCAGGTCACCCGGGCCGCCACGATGTCCTCAGTGAGCCCTTCTCTGCTCCCTGACTTCCAGGATCTTCCTGTTAGATCCCTGGTTAGTTCTCAGGTCTGAACTCGCCTAGTCCCACCACTCCTCAGGCCCGCAGAGAGGCAGGCTCTCCTGCGTGTTCTTCGTTCTTCAGCGCCCTCTGACTCCCAGCATCTCTGCCAGGTGCTGCCCCTGCTCTGCACCAGCGAGCGCCCCTGGAGGCAGGGCCCGTCCTGGCCGGGCTGTGCCCCAGCTCGCTGAGACCAGCCCCAGGCGGGAGCGCCCCAGGCGCCCCCCCCCACCCCGTCCCTGCCCGAGTGCAGCAGTGTTTCTCAGTTTGTTGTTGGCCCTTAATTGATTTGACAAGCCCTGGAATCACTGTTTCTTACAATTCTCAGTGGTTTTATAGTTTTGTGGGGAGAGGATTTGCCAACTTCTTCCCTCCACCATAGCCCAGATCTGGCCCTTCATTGATTCTTTTGTAGCCTAACTTGTCCCGCAGAAGACTCGACCTGATGCTAAGTGCTTGAGGGGTGTGATCTTACATAGCTCTTTAGATCGAGGGGGCAGGACATAGAGCTTGGTCTTGCAGCTGGGGCTGCCGCATGAGAACTTGCCCAGAAGTGAGGCCACCAGCCCAGCTGGCCCAGTGACAGTGTCTTCTGGTGTGCTCATCATGGGGGGTCTTTTGTCGGAGGCAGGGCTGGGGGGAGCCGGAGTCAATCTTTATTTCTTATTTTTTGAGGTTAGTGCTTCCTGACTTTCTGCTCTGCAGTAGCCGTCAGGCAGCGTTTTAGTCTCACTGCTTCTGTGCGGTATGTCACGACTTGGGGCCTTGCCTGGGGTGTGCTGGTCGGGAGCGGTCACTTTCTGTTTCCTGTTCATTTGTCCTCCAGGGGCAGAAGGCCTAAGGGTGGAGTCTGACCAGCAGGGCTCAACAGAGCGGCGCCACGACCCTCTCACAGTCATGGACGGTGTCAACAGGATCGTCTCCGTGCGGTCAGGTGGGAGGGGAGGTTGAGATGTTTTTGTAGAACAGAAGAGTGACCATTACTGAACAGAGTGTTACCACTTCATTCTCACATAAGATTTCAGGAAGGGACAATACGTGATTACCCACAAAATACAGCAGATTTTATCTGCCAGTACTTTCAGTAAGATCATTATCCAACGGATGTTAGTACCTCACTCACCACTGATGGGTGGGACTCCTGCGTGACTGGTGTGAGAGCAGGTCCTTGTTGGGGGCACAGGCCGTCCAGGAGGCCGGCCTTTCCCAGACAGCGGAGATGGTGCTGGAAAGAGTGTGGGAGGGCCAGGCTTGTGCTACAGAGCTTTTTAAGGGGATCTGTTTTGTAACTGTTGCTGTGAGGGCTTGGGCTCCACACGGAGTGTGCGCTGTGTGTGTGGGGAGGACAGAGCGCTGGGGTAGCCAGGAGCGGTCACCTGCGGGCCTCTCCCTGCTCTGCTGACGGGCTCCCCGCGGCTGAGCAGGGGTGAGTCCCTCTGTACGGGGGCTTGTTAAATGCTCTCTTACGGGGCTTTTTAGAATCATCAGTGCAGGTATTTGTATGTGCGTGCGATCTCTTCAGACTATTTTTATCCTTCATCTGGAGCAAGTGTCTGCTAATGTTTCCTAACATAACTGCGCCCCTCTGCCTTTGTAGCAGAGGCAGCCACAGCCTGAATATAAATGATCGGCCTGACTGTGTCCCAGTGAAATTTTCCTCACAAGACGTTACTTCGGATGAAGGATGTGGTCACAGATGAGAATGGCTTTCTTTCCGGCATTTTGACAAATGTCAGTGTGATTTTAGTCATGTTGGGAGATATGCCTGGTGTCTCTGCTTCCAGCCGGATCCCTTCCGAGCCACTCCCAGCCCGCTGCCTGGTAGCCCTTCTAAGTAGAAGCCTGGTTGGGGTGGCACACTGAAGCCCTGTCTGTCTGCTCCCCAGGTTCTGGCTGGGCTGCTCCATCCTCCCGAAGGTGGCCCTTCCATGCTGAGCTGCCGCTGTGCCCAGGCCTTTGCATACTTGCACCCTCTTTGGGGAAGGCTGGGGTTTTCTCATCCATTGCCTGGGAACCACTGTCATGTCAGACCTTCCCCAGGAAGCCTCCCCGTGGCCCCTGACCTGGCTGTGGGCAGAGGCTGGCTCTGCAGGCCCCTCACACGGCATCATGGGTGCATGTGAGCATCTCCCGTGGGGCGTTGCACACCCGCCCCCTGCTTCCCCACATTTTGGCACAGGGTGTGTTGAGGGCACAGTGTGAATGCACGTGAGGAGTGGGCTGGAGGAGCCGGCTGTGCTCCAGGCAGGGCGCAAATGACTCCGGGTCTAAGGAAGTCGATGTTGATCTGATGGTGGGCGAACCCAACACCAGTGTTGTTCGCTCTACCAGGCAGGGAGTGGTCCAGCTGGTCCAACGAGCTGCGCATCCCGGGGGACGAGCTGAAGTGGAAGTTCATCAGCAATGGCTCTGTGAACGGGTGGGGCTGGCGCTTCACTGTCTACCCCATCACACCGGCCACGGGTAATGAGGGGCCCGGCCTCCAGCCACCAGGGCTTGCTGACCCCGCAGGGTGGACACACGTCATTTTCACTGAGTGCCTTGCGGGCCGCCTTCTCCTGTTGCGTGGGGAGCCAGCGCTGCCCAGGGCCCCACCACGGCGAGGGTCAGAGCGGCAGTGAGCCACCTCCGCTGTCCAGCGGCCAGGGAGTCAGCCCCTCCCCACCCAGTGTTCCCCTGCTCTTGCTGGTTGCCTTCCTTAACCCGTTTGACTTCCAGGTAGAGTGTCAGTGTACAGAACGTACCTATGTGACCTTGACAGTGACAGGCCCCTGGACCCCTCTCTGACCACAGGTCCGCCCCTTGTTGGTTGGGCTGAGTGAGACTCCTTGTCAGGGAGCCTTCGCCTGCTCCACCGGGGGGATGTTTATTGTGCTTTTTCTTTTTCTTTATCTTTGTATATGTATATTTTTATTGAAGTGTAGTTGGTTTACAATGTTGTGTCAGTTTTTTATGTACAGCATAACGCTCCTTCTTCAGGCCCTAAAGACCTCCTTTCCAATCGCTGCGTCCTCTCCTATCCATCGGTGGACTTGGTGACATGTCTGTCGGACTTCCGGCTCAACCTTGCCTCGAACAGAAGCACCGTCCCCCGCCTGGCGGCGTCTCTGGCAGCCTGTGCACAGCTAAGCGCCTTAGGTAATGGCACGTGTGCTTCCAGGTCTGTCCTGCTCCGGGGGAACCGTGGGCATCCTCTGACCCTCTCTGTCCACTAATTTCAGCTGCCAGTCACAGGATGTGGGCCCTTCAAAGACTGAGGGAGCTGCTTACAATCGAATTTGCGCAGTCAGTTAACATAGGCTACTTGGAGACAATGATGGGGAAACGAGAGCTGTGGTGTGAAATATTACATTACAGTTTCTAGACAGCTGACCCTTTGGGACTGAAATGTTGGCTTTAATACTTTAAACTCCTAAATCTCGGATGAAATACAAGTCGGTCAGTTTTACCTTTTGCTAAAACTGCTGGAGTTAAGCGTTTTGGAGGATGGCAGTTGTCATACGTGAGGAAAAGCTGATGTTTGAATTAACCGTAGTGTCTAAGCCTGCCTTTCCACCCCTGGCCGAGCCCCCACCACCTTGTTCCATTTGCAGCTCAGAGATGTTCATTACCACAGAGGCAACGTGAGAACAGATATTGTAAAGGGGGGTTAATACGACCTCAAAACAAAGTTCAGTGTTCATTGTGTGTTTCAGGGTTCACTGCCGTTTTCCTGTCTGGGTCAAACTTCTGGCTTCTCGTGAGTTTGCATCACGTACCTGACAGCCGGGAAGACCCTTTTCTGAAATGCCCTGTGTTCCCCTTTCCAGGTCCTTCCACTCCTCTGGATGTTCTCTCAGCATCAAACTCCTCCTCTCAGCTGATGGTGAAGTGGAACCTGTCCTCTCTGCCCAGCAGCAGCCTGAGTTCCTACATCGTGCAGTGGTGGCACCTGCCTCAGGGCAGCTGCCTTCACTGCACAACTACTGCTCCAAAGGTGAGCTCCCAGCCCCAACTCCGCATGTCCCTGTCCCCGGGAGCAGGCCAGCCCTCGGTGGGGACCCAGCCCTCGGTGGGGACCCAGCGGCAGTGGCGATTACCGGTGCAGACAGCCCCTCCTTCTCCCCACCAGCCTGTGCAACCTGGCTCTCCTTGGGCTCCTCTTTTCCAAGCAGACAAAATCCCCATCAGGAAGTACGCCGATGGCATCATCAGTGGCGAGAAGGTGATGGAGAACCTCAAGACCAAACTGGTGGTGAGAAAGGGCTGTGCTGCACTTGTCCCAAAACCAAGGCTGAGAAGCAAGCCGAGAAAGAGGAGGCCGAGGGCTGCAAGGTCTTCAAGAATCCCCTGCACAACGCCGTCTTCATGCCCAGTACCTGCCCTCTGAGGATGACTCCAGGCGGGGCCTGATGCTTTCTCACCACCCTGGCCTTTTGTAGGTCAGCAGCCTCAAGGTGAGCCCCAGTGGCAGTGGAGGAGGGACAATGTGAGGCTGTGGGCTTGGCTGGGTGGGATTTCTGCACAAAGGAAGGGGCTCAGAGCCTGAAGCCTGCCCTGGGGTGGGGTGGGGTCAGGCTGGCTGTGTGACAGGTGACAGGTGCAGCTGACCCCCAGCCCAGTGCAGAGAGCACAAGGGCTCAGAGAGCAGAAACCACAGGGCCACACTTACAGAAACCCGTGAGCAGAGGAGCCAGGATTTAGGCCATTCCCACCCCTCCTGTGGTCTCTCAGCCTGGCTGAGGAGGAAGGGAGCCGGGTGAGAAAAGTCAGAATCAGTTTTGAAAGGAGCCCCACTTCAAAGCATAACCAGGTGCCATGGGCACCCTTGACAAGCAGGTTTGGGAAGCAGCATAAAAGACAGCCTTTAAAAGCAAGCGGCCCCTCCCCTGAGCATCTGTCTGCTCCGCTGCGGAGGAAGGTCCATGTTCAAGGCAGCATTATTCACATAGCCCAAAGCTGGGAACAACCCACGTGTCCTCCAGCAGCTGAGTGGATGAACAAGTGAGCCCTTTCTGGGCACTGGAATATTATTTAACCAAGAAAAGGAATGAGATTCTGAAGCCTGAATGAAACTTGAGAACATGCTGAGTCAAAGCAGCCAGGTAGCGTATGATTCCATGGACATGAAACTAGAACAGGCAAGTTCATAGCAACAGGACGTGAGTTAGTGGTTACCGGGGCTGGGGGAGGGGACAGGGGAGTTATTCCTTAATGTGTGTAGAACTTCTGTTTGGAGGGATGAAAAATTTTGGAAATGGTGATGATGGTTGCATAGCATTATTAATAATCAGTAACAGTGAATTATGCACCTAAAAGAAGTTAAAATGACAAAATTTTGTTAGTTTTTTTTTAAACTTTATTTTACTGCAACAAAAATTAGTGGAAAATAAAGAAAGGTGGAGGGACATTCAGCAGGGACACCTTGTGATTGGTGTCTGGGGAAGGAGATGGAAACGGAGTGGTGGCCGATGGCTCCGTTTTCTTCCTGAAAGATTATCAAGCAGAGTTTTGAAACAACCTCATGCCTGAAATCTGGGCAGAGGAGCAGGATTTCAGACCAGCCTTGTCCCTACGAGCCCGTGTCCCCAGCCCCTCACGGCACCCCATCTGCCAGCCCCCGACCTGGGGGCACCAGCGGCCCCAGGCTTCTGCTTATTCTACAGTTGCTCTGCCCTTAAACGCTAGCTGAGGTTGGAGCAACAAACAGTTTTAAAAGAGACTTTTTTCTTTTCTGTCAAGTGACCCTCCTGATATTTGTTTAATAGTCAAAGATAGACATCTTGCTTTGAAAAATCATTAAAACAGGAAATGAAGACCTTTTAGAACGAGAGGCACTATTTCCTCTGCAGAATGAGGCTCTTGTCGCTCAGCCCCCTTCTGCCCACGCCCTCCTCCCCCGCAGGTAAAACCGCGGACCCTTCAGCCCCGCGCAGCCTGCCGGTGACATCTGCTCACTGAGAGACGATAGGGCTGTGGCTCATGTGTTAGTCCAGGTATCTGTTATGTCACGTGTGGTTCTGAGAGTCAGAACGTTTGAGGGCTGGAAAAGAGCTCAGAGATGTTTCAAAACTAGAGCCCAGGTTCAGGGGCTTGCCCACCATCCGAATTCATTAATGATCCACCTGGGGCTTGGCCCTCCTTTCCCACACTCCAGGGCTCTTCCCCTGCCTGGCATCGGTTCTCAGCACCGTCCATCCCCCCGTGCCCCTAGAGGCTCGGCCGGTGTCACTTTCTTTGGGCACAGAGAAGAGGATGGGTTTCGAGTGTCCCAGACAGGCTGGGCAGGAGCGGTCTGTTTATTCTGCATCCGAGGCGGCTGGTTGTGTTGCTGTCTTGTCCCCCCGACCTGCCCGAGGTTCAGGTTGTGAGTCCAGGCTCTGGAAAGGTTTTGCTAAAAAGCCCTGTGCCTTTCTGTTTATGGTTACAAGGCAGTGCCTGTTTCCTCATCAGATGTGGATCACAAGATCCGGTGGCGTGAGGGCAGAGCTGTGGGTGACACAGGTACTATGAATGCCTCATATTCATGTTGATTTCAGGATAGGTTTCCTCTGTGCCGGGTTCCCCTGCTCAGTGCGTGTGTCCACCCTGCGGGCCTGGCAGCCTCTGTCTGAAATCTAGTCCCACTTCCTGGTCTCTTCCCATAGGACAGATGTAATACTGTGGTTTGCCCATGGTGAGGCGCCACAATTGATGACAACCTCATGTGTGTGTTTTTCAAGACTCCTACTGAGGCTTGCATCTGATGTCCGCACAGTTTCCGACAGAATTCAGGTAGAAGGAGCGTTCGGGTAACAGAATGACTGAAAAAATCATAAAGGGAGGTTTTCTGTTTTACAACCAGTTTGTCCAAAAGCAATTTTTATTTCTTTCAGTTCATTCTAAGTACAGTTTGTCTGGGAGCTTAAAACCTGGCAAGTCAGGCTTAGTGTGTTACGCGCTGTCCGACGTGCCCCGTGTGTCCTGAAGCAGGCCAGCGGCCGGGGCTCACGGGCTGCTCTCCCGCGTCCGTATCTGGGGGAGGGCCTGTCGCTGATCGCTGCCTTTGTATCTTAAGTCAGGTGGTTTGGTTTAAGTGACTGAAATGTCAACAGATGTTGAAGAGTCAAAAAGGCTTTCCGCTCGGAATAAGCTGTCCGCTGGGTGGGAGCGGGGAAAGCTGGGGGTGATGTTTGCCACTGGTCACACTGTTGGGAGGCGAGGCTGCTTACAGAGAATGGGGGATGCAGCATTCTGCCTGCCCCCTGCCTTCCTGACGGTGTCCTGTGTGGCCTGCCTCCCCAGCCCCTGTCAACGGCTCTGCGGCCTCTGGGAGTGTGGTGTTTGTAAGTAGACTGCTGAGTGAGCTCACGGTGTCATCCCAGGTAAACGGGATTGGGCCACGGGAGGGGTTTTGACCCAGTAGTATTTTGCAGTGAGTTAAACCCAAGCAACTTCCTACTTGTAGGCCCGAGTGGGTGTTGTGTGGGTTTTGAAGAGATGGCAGGAAATTTGTTCTGGTGGATGTCAAAAAAGGTCTTCCTAGCAACAGGTGTGGTTCCCTGTGCCCTCCCCTTCCAGGGAGGTAAGCTGGTTTGTCGAGTGAGAGGCTGGGGAGCTCTCAGCCTCGTTTTCTAGCCTTTCCTTCCCCAGCATCAGGAAGGCGGATACAGTGGGGCCCGTGGCCAGTTTTGGGTGCTCATTACTCTCACGATCTGTCTCTGTTGGGCCCTGTAAGTGCTAGGAGCCTGCTTTTAAGGCTTCTTGGGGGAGCCATCTCTCACAGAAGTGGCCATTGGAAGAGCCATGCCCCAGCTTCCTGGGCGCCTCACCTGCATCTGGGGTATAGATGTTCTTGCCCTGGTGATTCCAGGCAGTCCCTTTTCTGTCCTGTCCTTCTAAGCCCTACTGAGACCCATGGCAGGGATGCTGCCCCTGTCATGGGCAGGGCCCTGGGGAGGCCACAGGCGGTCACCATGGAGTGGGAGGCAGAGCCAGGCTGGAAAAGACCTCCAGGGCTGTGACAAACATAGATGGTCCCCTCTCAGAGGAGGAGGGGCCTGGAGGTCCAAGTAAGTGCTGGCTGCTGGCATCTTTCCTTTTATTCCCCAGTCGCAGGGGGTCAGAAAAGCCACCACCACAGGCCTATGAGCCCCCTCTGCCCACCTCCCTGGGCCTGCACCCCACACCATCGGTCTGTGCAGCAGATGGCGCTGACATTCTAGTGCAGCAGCCATGGTGCTGCTGAGCCGGGGGCGGGGGCGTTAGTTTGCCTCTGGCAACCATTGAGAAACCACCGCCAGCCGGGAGGCAGTGTGCGTGGCGAGTCTGAGGTTTGCAGTGCAGAGAAAGCATAGTAAACAAACGAGGAAGGGAATCTCTGTATTATTTGTTGGTTCTCATCCAAGGCACCCGAGTAGCTCCTTTTATTCCAAGGTTAAGATTTTTCTTTTCTTTCTCTTCCTCTAACCTAAGTCATAGAAGAGACAAGAGGGGGAGGCCCTCACTTAGAAGCCAAGTTTCTCTCTTCCTTGCAGACCCAAAAGAAAGCAGAGGGAGGTCATGCAGGCCACCAGCACCACCATATCCAGCT